ATAATGTCTTTTATCAGTCAATGCTAAAAGAGGCAGGGAAACCTATGCCAGTGATTGACAGTCACCAGGATTTAATACCAAATAGAATACTTCCATTTTCTTCTCCACCGCACTAGAAGTAATGGTAACTGTGATCTTGCTCTTCCTCCTTCCTATAGAAATATGACAGAAGACGTAGTTCCTGCTCTGGACCACCTACTAAAACTACAGCCAACTCTGGAAGATCCTAAAGGGTGGAGAGAAAGCATTTACCAGCTCACATGGCATATATGAGTAGTGAGGCATTGGAGACTTTACTTCTGACAGCAGACCCTGATCTCGTATGCCCTACTGCATTACTCTAGTACACATGGATAGATTACAGAATCATAGATTTACACCTGGAAAGGATCTTAGATGTTTCTGGTTCAACTCCCTTATTTGACAGTGATGTACAGCACTTCATTGCTGGTGAAGCATTTTCACACTCATTATCTCATTAGAGCTTCACAGCAACTCAAGCAGATTTTGCTTTTATCCTCATTTTACACACGAAGAAACTGAGGTAGAGAGAAGAGTTAATTAATTTGCCTAGAGGTAAATCCAGGACTTAGAAAGGAGGTGTCCTGGTTCCCATGGTAATCTTTGGCAGATTTAGGGACCCAAGCTCTATAAGAAGACCCGAGAAGAATATGGAAGGCATTGCAACTATTCCAGCTAGGGGAATGTGGGCTCCATTTCCAACTCTTGTTTCTGGGCCAGGCAAGCTCTGACACACAGTATACCTCCTTTGGCTTATTTATTTTTAACCAGACCTGTGATTTTACCAAATGGGGACTCCTGCTGAGGAACTTGCACCAACAATGTAGATTAGGAATTTTCCCACAATTTATTGTCTTGGAGAATTGCCTGGAGCCGTTGAGAAATTGTGACTTGCCAGAATTAGAGGCATAACTCGAACCCAGGTCTTCTTGACTGCAAGTCTGGCTCTCCATCCATGATGATACTGCTTCTCAAGGTATACCCTGCTTTATGGAAAAAGTCATAGAGAGGGTCGGGGAAATACTTCATTTCATTTTAGTCCAGACCAGGGATTTCATTTATATTGGAGCCCTTGGTGTTGAAATTCCCTGTACACATGCAACATCAGAATGTTTTTGTAACCCATGGTCTCAAACAGTTCCCTGGGGCATGGAGAGTTTGAATGACTTGTCCAGGGTCACCAAGAAAATCTCAAATGGGGTCATGAAGGGTAGGATATGACTGAAAATAAAATGTATTTAGACAAATCCTTTGGACTTTGGACCTCAAAATTCTCACTATGAAGTGATGGGATTGGACTAGCTAATCTCCAAGGTTCCTTTCAGTTCTAGGCCTTTGATCTTATTGCCCTATGAAAATGAGCAAGGTCAGAATCTGAAAAAGGAGACAGAAAGACCCTGGATTTAGGTTCAGTCTCAGCTTTCCTACTTACTACCCTTGTGGCCTTTGAGGAAGTTGTTTATCATCTCTGTACCTTAGTTCGCTCATCTGTTAAATGACAGAGATGTACTAAATTAAGAACTAAATGTTCTTAACTTTTTTGGTATCATGGACCTCCTTGGAAGTCTGCTTAAGCCTATGGACTCCTCAGAATAATATTTGTAGCTTACATTCATAATTGAAGGAAATGCTCAATTTCAGTTAGAATTTGGTAAAAATAAAAATGTAATTTTTTTCCCTATCTAGATTGGAATCCAGGTTAAGAAACTCTGGATTAAATGATCTCTAAGGTTCCTTCTGGCTTTACATCCTATGATTCTGGTCTCATGATTCTAATCTCATGACGTTACTCTTTTAGATGGAGTCAAACCAGTAAAGTGTATGTGTTTTTTTTTTTTTTCGTTCAGTGAAGGCAGTTGGGATTAAGTGACTTGCCCAGAGTCACACAGCTAGTGAGTGTTATGTGTCTGAGGCCGGATTTGAAGTCAGGTCCTCCTGACTTCAGGTCCTCCTGGTGCTCTATTCACTGTGCCACCTAGCTGCCCCAAAGAGTACAATGACAATCTGAGGTTTGTTTTTTTTTGTTTTTGTTTTTGTTTTGGCAGTTGGGGTTAAGTGACTTGCCCAGGGTCACACAATTAGTAAGTGTCAAGTGTTTGGTCTGAGGCCGGATTTGAACTCAGGTCCTCCTGACTTCAGGGCCAATGCTCTATCCACTGCATCACCTAGCTGCCCCTGTGTATGTTTTTTTTGACAAGAGCTTTTAATTGCTTGCAAAAATAAGTCTTGCTAGAGTTTACTTCCCAACAAATGTCCCCTCATGAGACATTTCCTAGGCCTTGTTCCTCGAGCTTGGCCTTTTGGTGCCCCCAAAAGGCACCAGAATGGAAACCCTGTGAAAGTTTGTTTTTGTAGTTAGAGGTCATTTGAAATTCAAAGCATCCGGAGAGGGTTACCCCTAAGAAAAACCTTCAAATAGGCAAAGTTTGCCTTGACTTGGCTCTCCTTCCTCAGTTATTATCTCCTTTCTCCTTTGTACTTCTTGCTGACCCTGGCTGGCTAGGACTCCCCATTTATACTTCTTTACCCAGAGCTTCCATGATCTAGAATTTTGCCTACTGGCTAGCCCCTGGTCTAATTTTACCCCATTCCATCAGGATCCTGTTCTTTGCTGGATGACAATGAATCAGAAACAAATCTGTGCTAATGTATAAGGAGTGAAAAGCCCTGCGAAGAGCTGGGTATGGTTGAACTAGATAATCTCAAAAGTTCCTTTGAGCTCTGACATTCTGATCCTCATATTATTTCTACTAGTTAATATATTTACTTCTTTAAAAAAAAAACGAGATTTCTATGTATTTTAGTCAGGACTTATTGAGGGTACTAGTTGGTTATTGTCCTTCATTCTTGAAGAGGACCAGAATGACATCACTATATTGGGGCCAAGGTCCAGTGTGTCTGACTGTGGCTGATCAGACCAACATGAGTACAGAACACTCTACCACAGGTAAGGCACACATAGCCTATCGGAGCATTTGGAGTAGAGATATCTCCAAATTTGCACATCTCATGAGCTACTACAATTCTACTTTGCTCACAGAGAACAATGCCTTCTTTGATGTGGGCATGCCACACTGGTGGTCCTGTGCCAGTGTCTCCCATGTCTTACAATCAATTCCAAAGTTCTTCAGAGAGACCTTGAGCATGTCCTTGTATCACTTCTTCTGACCTTTGTGTGAGCACTTGCCTTGTTCTCAGTAAAATAGTCTTTTAGGCAAAAGTATGTTTGGTATTGGAACAACATGGCCAACCCATCAGAGTTGTGCTCTCTGCAGTAGAGTTTGAATGCTTGGCCAGTCCCCAAAGGTTAAAACCCAGGTGTCATTCTCAGCTCTCTCTCTCTCTCTCTCTCTCTCTCTCTCTCTCTCTCTCTCTCTC